ACTTGTGGCATGGGGTCCCAACATAAGATAAGTAGTCACAAGATGGAAAAAGAAAACCATGTTTGAGATTTCTTTTCGGACTTTTCAATAAAGTCTTATTTTGGGAGGAGCCCATCTTTGAAAAATCCTTGAAGAAAACCAGTCCTAACTCAGAGTTAAAACATTCTGTGGTAAACATGCTTGCATGAATGATTCTAACCAGACCAGCCCACTTGACAGCAGTAAGAAGATTCAAGAGGACAGAAAGGAGAGAAACATTTGAATGGAACTGAATGGAGCATTCCGTTCTGATCACCTACAGGATGAAGCTGCTGGAGATGATCACTTTCCAAGGCCCTTGAAGCTGGGATAGAAAGGGTTTCATGGCATCATTGGGGGAAAATACCATCATAACATTTCAGCATATTGTACTTATACAGTATCGATATCCTCCACTGGGAATCAACTACTAAACCTAAAACGTTATCTTGATTGTGATTGAGCTCTTGATCCTGTTTATGACCGTTAAAGATGAGAATTACCATCCTGTTGACTTTGCTAACTTGTGGTCATGTGAAGCTCTTTGAGATGACTTGCTTTGATTTGAGGCTTTAGCTGCAGAATTGGAGAGATTTCTTTCTAATAGTTTACCCTCCTGCTAACTGTAGCCATGAGCCTCTCCCTTCGTGGTTAGCAGAAGGAAAAATTATTAGCAGCATTTGCTCCCATCAGGCCCTTACCCTCACTAGATTAGTACAAGCTACAGGCAATACAAACGTGTGCTTTCTCCATGTGCCATGTCATACAACACGCATTACCTGTGTTACGATGTAAGTACACCCGGAGTGTTATGCAGGGGATAAGTTTGTGAACAGGCAAACTCGTCTGTCACAGACGTAGCCCGAGGCCTGACGGTAGAAGGTGAGGACGAGAGAGTAATGGAAGGGCCTGAGGCCAAGAGCATTATCTCCGCCTGACTCTGACTGACACTCATTAGGCTGCACAGTGGAGAGAGGAGGCTGAAAGCTTATTAAACCTACTGCTCAAAAGGCCCTTAATTGAATCCAAGTAATTATAGAGACCTTGCCCATTGTGATATTTTTATTCATCCTGCGGCAAACTCAATCTCTCCTGCATTCGGAACACTATTAATGTTGTCTGCGCCAATGTGTGTGAGATCCACACACAGGCCTGCACTTCAGCACCGACTAACAGTGTCTCACACACATATACCCACACAGTTCCGCTCCCCTAAGACATGTCCCATCACCAGGACCCCTGCTGCACTTTTGAGTCTGTTCCCGCTTCATTAGAATCTGAGGGATAATAACATTAATTCCAAAGACAGTTTAGTTCCTTTGAAAATAGATTACAGGTGTAATTGTTTTACCTGAATAACCCTTAGGCAAGAGAAATTAATTAGACCTTGTGTCCCAAGTCCTAATGTAGCTAATTTCTTCCACTGGCCTGGCACACACACACTAGTCACACACACGGGACGCAGATGGACTGACTTTGAGATTCCAGCACTTTAAATGAAGGATGATGGATGACAATATAAAGGTGTAAGCTGGTCATTAGAAACGTGAGAGCTTCCAATCCGAAACCAGATGTCCTGTAACACGGGAGACTTTGGATGGCTCATTTAGGTGAGATGATTGCATATTTGTGTGCAGTATGTGTCGAACATTGCGGTTGAGCGGTGTCAACGACGGCATTAGCTGTGTTATGTGCACACCATGCCTGCACTACCGCTATAATTGGCTGAGGCAGCATCATTATTATACCATGCAGTATGTTGCTTCTAAGAAGACCTGCCCACCAACCCTCTATCGTTTCCATCAAGGGTCCGTTGTGCATGATGGCAGACATGAATAACACTTTCATCAGCCCTTTAAACAAGCTCAAACATTTTTTTTTTGTTTAAACAATCCTTTTTGCTTACAACTTATGTCTGCTGTCAACTAATGATGAAAAGCACAAGAAGATTTATGCGGTGCCATTTATTTTAATTTTTTATTGTAACCGATGATTGTCAAGCAGCTTTTTTCTTATTAAAGCTGCAAGATAGCACGGTGTGGAGTTTAACTATCTGCATGCAAGTTGACAGTAACAGCGGTAGAGACCTTGCATTAGAACCAAATGGTCTCTGGTTGAAGTCCCAAACAGACCAGAATACATACAGTTGATCAAGCCAACTGCTCCCTGGTGCTGAAAAACATGGCAGCCCCTTACTCTAACACTATTACATGCATGTGTGTGTTCAGACCCAAAGGTACAGTATGTAAACTAACAGAGGGGATATCAGAATTCCCCCTTGTGAGATAATTAAGTGGCTTCTCGTTCTATTTAAGCACACGTCTCGTTTGCCTTCCAAGTCAATTCAAACGGATACGCTCTGTTTTGAAAGATATTCTCAAAGAATGGTCTCAGGTTAAGTGGTGAGAAACACGCGGAGCGGTGCCAGTGGAACACGTTGATTGACAGCAGTAATCCGAGCAGCTGGGGAGGCCTGGAGGAGCCCTGTGATCCGTCTGGTTTCAGCGGGACTCCCAAAAGGCCTCGAACCTCCCCCCCTCCTTTTACTGGAGCAGCCGTACGCTCTGCTGCTGAGACAGAAAGAGAAACGCAAGAAAGCTTTTTCTTCTTTCTTGCGTCAGCAGCTGTAACTCGACACGGCCGACTCCTCTTTGGACATCTTCCACCCGTCTCCTCTCTTCGCCCTCCTGTTCACTTTTACAGCTCGCGTCTCCACAACCCCCCCATCCCCTAACCTGAGCGTCAATTTCTGTCCCCGTGTTGCATCAGTCTGAGGGGCGCAGTAATAAGCATCAGAGGGGCCTGCTTGCTCATCTGCCCTCCAGCTTGCCAGTCAGCCCGCTCGCCGGCTCGCCTTCACGCCTGTATGCCTGCCAGTGTTCTGCCAACTGCCATGCCCTATTCATGTCCTATTCATCTATTGTTGAATTAAAGGCTGCTTTCCTCAGGACATCCATCCCTCTGCTGGCCTTTTTATTTTTTTTGTGGCGAGGCACAGGAGCGAGGATTAGCATTAAAAGGAATAGACTGCTGAGGTAGACTCGGCAGGAATGCACCAGTGCACACACCTCAGTTCTGCCAAGCTGCTTATATTCTGTTTCAGTAGAGCTTTTTATTACTGGGACAATTTATGCCTCACACAGGACACCTGTCTCGTGTCTCTCTTTCATTATAAACCTTTTTAAACTCTCTTTTTGTTCTCTTCCCCCTCTCATGTTTCCCTCACTTTGTCTTATTCCGCTTTTCTCTATCAAGCTCTCCTGTCCCAGATCAGTTCAATCAATTAACCAATTAGTCAATTTCCTTTTTTTGCCAATTCCGTAGTCCATGGAGGAAGATAAAGGGGAAACGAGATGAATGACAATCCAAAGCTTTGGGATTTATTAGCAGGATATTTGACATTGTGTGAGTGAAGGTCTCAGAAGTAAGAATTCAAGAGTTTAGAGCTATGCTAGCAGCTATGTGAGAATGTAAATATGCAATTAGCTTCATCCAGCGTTTAGAGCTAAATGTGTGCTGACATGAAGCTGCTTAACAGCTGATTTTAACTATCCTATATCAGAATCTTTATATTTTCTAAAAAGAAATGTAAGAGGCCGTATTATGCTTTTTGGGTTTTCCATTTCCTGTATTGTGTTAATTAGGTTTGGTTGCATGTAAATGGTCTTCAAAGGCTGAAATCCCTCTCCAGAGTGAGCTTCTCTCCCACACGGCCCCTTTAATTCAAAGCACAGTTTGGGATGGTTGGAATGTCATAATTGGTGCATGTCTCGGTCATACATTTGAGTCTATTTTTCAAATTCTGACATGATGATTGCGCTAGAAGTAAAAGTTAAGGACCGCAAAAGTAATAACAATATATCCTAAGGGGAAATTGAATACCAGTACTAAATGTAATGACCCTCCATCTGATATTTGTGAAGCCCTTTGATTCGAAATTACGAACAACAACCTTGTGGTTGTTCTGGATAAAAAGTCTGTTAGATCACCAAAGTAATTAAGATGAATCCTTTCGGTAGCATGAATATCAATGCACTGTTCAAAGGCCCTTTGCAAGCCATGAAATAGGTGTGGTCAGACTGGACCAAAGTGGTGTACTGAAACAACAACAGACATTTCCATCGTTAAAAAGGATGAGGAAACGGGGGCTACCTACTAGCACTATCTCCCGTCTTATCTGTGTGACGGTACATATGGTATACGTCTGTGGGTGGGCATAGTGTCGCCATAATGGAGTGGTAAAGCTGCAGGCATTATAGATTGAGAGCGAGCGGCCTGGTCCATGAATCTACCCCTAACTGTTCTTCTGCCTTTGTGGCCGTAACGATCGGCTGGCTCCCCTCTGTCACCATATTTTCTCCATCTTAGTTTAGAAGCAGAGATATATCTCGCCATAAAGGCAGACACAAAGAGGGCTGGAGAGGCTCGCCCGCTCCCCTACACAAAAGAGCCGGGCCTGGCGGTTGATAAAGGCTTATGGAGAGGAGAGGAGCTGATGGCCAGGGGACTGTTGGAAAGACCTATTCTCTTCACACACAAAGACAAGCTCTCACTCAAGACACTATCTGTGCGCCGTGACGCTGTTTGTGAATGTGTGCGTGCCCCTGCCCTCTTCACTTTCCCCTCATCCGCCTGTCTGCCTTTCTCCTTTCACACACTCTTTCTTTCTTTCTTTCTTGTTGGAAGATGCTAATATAGCACACGACAAAGCCCCAGAAGACAGCTCTTAAACAAAAACACTTCCTTTCTTAAGCAGTTCGTCTCTCATCCAAAGGATTGCCAAAGCAGGATTCTGTTGAAAAGCAGCGCTCAGTCATTCCTGAAGTCTATTCAGTCTCACTTTATTACCAGGGCGGCTGATCCCACTGATGTTGTATCACATCAAGTTCATTATAAATGGCTGCCTCAGATACTGAATAGAACTCCCTGTCTACTTTGATTAATCTCAAAGTATCACCTGTCTGTGGTTTTTTTACCTGCAGAGAAATGGGTGCGAGGCCGGGCCATCGACCGAGGCGAAGTCGAAGTCGGAACCCAGCAGAGCCAGGCGATCCCACCGGGGCTTTTCTGGAGATTTCAAATGACGATGCACCATCCGACCTACATCAAGTTCAACCTGTCCCTCTCCCACAACGCACTGCTGGGGGTCTACGGACGCAGGAACATACCGCCTACACACACTCAGGTAAAGGAGGCTCCTGTTGTAGCATGCTGTTCCCCCAGATGGGCTTTTTCTCGCTGAAGTAACTCATATAGCACATTTCTCCCTCTGGTCTGTCATCCGAGCTTTTTAAGTGAGCAGGCTTCACAAAAAATCAGATAACTCTCGAAATGTCTGGCCTCAAGTTAAGTGCTTCACTAAAGACAATTATAAACATGGCTTTGTATTTTGTAGAGACAATATTATCTTGTAAAAATTGTATTAATTAGGGCAAATACATATATTATGTGCCCTGAATTTGAGTTGTAATTACCTTGCCTGCATAATTATTATGGTGCCCAACATTTCAGCAATTATAAAGCTGGTAAAAGATCATTTCTGATCTTTTATCTAATGATATTGCCTTTATTAATATACTGTATGTTTACTGGTGGAAATTGCAAATCACTTTGCTGATTAAAATCTTTTTGTTCAGTTCAAACATTCAATTCACTTTGTGATTGATCCACCATTAAAGAGGACATATTCTGCACATCTTCACGTTCATATTTCTATGTTGTTCCTCTACTGTGACATGTTTACATGCTTTAATGTTCAAAAAGTGATTTATTTTTGAAAACTAAAACCAGAGCCCAGTTCTATTTCGTCCCTACTGACCGCCAGAGGCGGTGCTTTAGCACTGGATATGTCCATCGCGCGCATGCGCAGCTCGAGTACCAATAACAACAAAGTCACCTGTGACCCACGTGACACCGGCTATATCAGCCAAGGAGCGGTCAGTAGGGACGAAATAGAACGATAGTTACGGCTGTAACTACGGTTCTATGAGTCCCGAATGACCGCCAGAGTTTCCTGTCACTCAGAATTCTTGTGTGCTCGCGAGAAGATTCTGGGAACAGATCCTCTGACGACACCGGCTGTGATATCCGGTGTCACGTGGGTCACAGGTGACTTTGTTGTTATTGGTACTCGAGCTGCGCATGCGCGCGATGGACATATCCAGTGCTAAAGCACCGCCTCTGGCGGTCCTCCGGGACTCATAGAACCGTAGTTAAAGCCGTAACTATCGTTTTCTCTGATTGGTTAGTTGGCTGGCTCTGTGATTGGTTACACTAGAGATGATGTGACATGACGACGATGTGACTTTCAGTGATTCTGATTCAGTCTTCAGTTCAGCAGTGAGTTCCTTATGTTGCTAGTTAAAGCTGTTACATTGAGTTCAGTGCAAACTAGGGCTACACAAACGTTTTTCACATAGTTAACCAGTTAAACCCCACGGCCCCGCTGGCGGGTGCAAAACGCAACATCTTGCAAGAACCTCAGGCGGGTGCAAAACGCACATCCTCAACGAACACGTCCTCACATTTTAATAATAAGCTACGAATGTGTGCATAATCACTTAACGTGAACGAAACTCAGCCTATCAGCACAATATTAACAATCTTTTAGCCAAAAACCGCAACACATATAGCGCACCACATACAAATAACAAAGGCTTCTGCATTCAGCCTCGACGTACAAACAAAACAGAATCGCTACCACGCACTTAGCACAACACCCCTAACCTCACGTTAAAACTAACTCTTATTCACTTATCCGGCACTCTGCACAAACAACGACTATCCGACCTTAGCCAAGCCTAGAGATTCACACGCACTCTCCCACCAACCACGCGCGTATAAGTATCATCACCTCACCGACGCGACGGACCTCAGCACACTAAACAATAGCTTTAGGGAGCCAAAACGGCAAAACCTTCTTCCTCTTGCCTCTGCTTTTCTGCACTCAAAAGTTGTGTTCAATGCATTAGCACTATAACAACGCTGCTGAAGGTTAATCCAATGTGTCTGTGTCACTTTGAAATGATTACTGATAATCCATCTACATATTTATGTCAATAACGGAGATTTCATATTAGCTGCTATGATAGCTACGAGAGTGTATGACAGCTTCCGGTTTTGGGCATTCTGGCTACGCATCACTCATTCACCTATGGGTAAGATTTAGATGGATTTTAGGAACTTCCCTTCGATTCTATTGGCTCTAACGGTTAAAAAGAGGTGTCAATCATCAATATCGACGGACGGGGGCCAGAAGTATGGAAAATCCACCCAAATGACCCCAGAAGTGGATTTTTTTTCTAAATATCTCTAAAAAGGTAAAATGTCCCTTATTTTGCATCAATCTTGATACAGGGTACTTAGTTTGGATTCCTAAAGCTTTTAATCTAGTATCCCATCATTCAAGGGTGGTTTTCACTACAAGTAATGTTTTTCTTTTGGACGGACACTGTGATTTAAAATTATTTACTATGTTCAATCTGAATTTACTTTAAAATAAAAAAAAATGCTATATTGATTCTGACTTTTCTACATCCAACTCACAGTTTTATCATTGCTTTGAGAAACAAGATTATTAATTTACCCCTTTTAGAAGTGAAGATATAGTCAATTGTTCTGGGAATGTCATTTTCGAGCCTGAGGACTGAAAAACAGGCTCGGGGCTCAACTGGTTAATACAATAATGAGGGAATACTGATTCAGTCACTGACAACACAAGATTTGGTTGTGTTAGATTTAGTGTTAAACATTTGTTATTCATTTTGACAACAACTTTTTTTTTTTATATTCCACGCCATCCTCCCAAGGTGGCACAACAAAATGATACATGACAAATTACATTACAAAGACAAAACAGGAGCAAGGCGCCCTTCCCTTACTTAAATCTTAAATGCACTGGACAAGTTTAGATACTAAGGATGTGGGGATGCAATGGCTGAATATCAAACAGCCCCCCCCCACTCACAGTCACAGATGTCTAACTTGTTGACTAGGTAGGTACCTTAGCCATCACATTTAATTCCATATAAATATGCCTGCTCAGACAGGTCAGGGGTTGTGTAGCAACAAGAGGTAAGGAAGAGTGACAACTTCCTGTCACATCTAACCATGTTACCAATCCAACCGTGATCGCCCATTTTAAGCACCAGTAAAGCCAATCACACAACACAGGTGTCAATAAACTGTGTTTACGCTTGTTTTGTCAGACAAAATAACGATTGAGATCAGCAGAGCAGGACGTGCTGTCTGTCTGTTTAACAGGTAGCATTTATGAGCCGGGAACAAATCACTGTTTTTATCCTCATTCTGACAACAGAAACAGAAAAATATGTAAATGAGGACAATTCAAAAGGAAGTTAGGCTTTACTGTTTCTGTTTCATACACAGCCGACGACATGATGGAAAAGTGAGTCACAATATAATCCCGCTATTTTAAAATGTTGACTAATGCAACATGTCATGTAAGTCAAAACAAGAAGAGGAAGAAGACATTTAGCAGTTTTTCCTTTATGGACAGAGATCTTTAAAAAAAATACTCAAAAAGTGTGGACACATGTAAAAAAAACAACAATTAGTGATCTGTTTAGCTTAGTGTAGCACATTACCAGAAACAAAACACACACACACCCTCGTTGTACACCCTGTAGAGCCTCATTGTGCCATGCAAGAGGCACGTACACAGACAAAAATACAACACACACCGAGTCATCTGCTTTTTAACATCAGTGCGCCCCTGCTCTCGTCTGCATGAAGAGGTCTAATTAGCTGTTTTTGACACTAGTGTGACACACAGCCCTCAGGGGGAATAAGACTCAGCGAGAGCTCGCGAGTTCAAGGAGGTTTAAGGATGGAGAGGAAGGGGAGGAAGAGACGAGGGTGGTTGTAAAGTTAAAGAGGGTGAGAAAGAAGCATGGGGAGGTTTAAACAAATGAAATAATAGTCTGTTCCATTTGAAAGCCTGGGTGGTAAAGCCTGCCCACGCTATTAGCAGCACGTCAAGTTGTCGAAGCGACTGCTGGGGAACACGTCTGGTGGAGGACCGAGCTGCCATGGACGATGATTTCACATACCTTTCTTTTTTTGGATTCCTGTTTCACATCTGATATCCACGTCTAATGCTTTTCCCCAGCTTCTTGTATTCATGCCATTTCCCCGTAGCATACAATTGACAGTTTTCACAAAGCTCACACAACAACAGCCACACATCACTGCACAACGTTTGGCTTGCACATTTCGGTTGCATTTATGCAGGTTTGGTGATTTCCCATCTTGCTCCAATTCCAATTGTCTGATTGTGTTGTATGTGTATTGTGTTCCAGTTCGACTTTGTGAAGCTGTTGGACGGGAAGGCGCTGCCCAGGTCTTTGACTGATCCCGTCCTGACTGCCAAAGCTCCCAAAGGCCTGCTGCTGAGCGGCCTCCAAGAAACGGGCTTCATAGAGTACATGGACCCCGGCACCTGGCACCTGGCGCTCTACAACGACGGACGCAACCTGGAGCAAGTGTTGCTGCACAGCACTCCCATAGGTGAGGAGAGTGATCATTGTTATGTCATTATCAAAATGTGCGATATAAATAAAACCTGATTTGATTATCACAGATTCACCCATGTTGGAAGCCTTTCTTCCCATTCCTCTTCCACATTATCAAGTCTTATTTAGCTGATGCTCTAATTCCAAGAGAACTACAATAAGTGCATTCAACCATAGAGATAGAAAACATTTTAAAATGCAATTGTTTTATAAAAATGTTTTAAGTTTATAATTTTGAATTTTATTTTATTTATTTTTTGTATTGGCCAAAGTGCATCGGCACTAGTAGTTATGGCATAATGTGTATTTATTTTATAATTAATTAGTTAGTTACCAATGTTGGAAAGAACCTGACCACTTCAATTCTTAGCTTGATTATTTTATGATACTTTGTACTTTTACTCCACACACATTTCAAAGCTAATTAGTCTTCTTCTTTTTTTCACTGAATGTAATGATTGCTTTAGCTGATATAAGACACCTTTGATTTACATTGCTATATTATATAATAAGATGATAGTATTTCAAATAACATTTATGGATTGGGTTGTGTCCTCATCTCCAAGGCTTTCTCCAGGTAACTAATCTAAATGTTTCATGTGAACAGCCAACCAGATACTTATGCATCATCCATATTAACAAAATCAATATCTGTTTTTATCTTACCAAACAAAATATTGCACATTCCTTTATAACATGTCAGGAGAAAACAAAGTGAAACTTTTCAAAAAATGTTCCAGTTTCACCTGTTGGCTGGACACATAAGCCTCTTTAGGTTATAGATAAATGATATACAGTATAATTATTTTATTATCCTAAATCTAGAATATGACTTTCTTAACTGTACTGCATAAAATAATAGTTTGTTTCTTTAGGTTGGGTTTGTATGAGGTACTTATCCATAGTCCGCCAATCCTTAATTGTGAGAAATGGACAGTAGTACCAGCACGGAATCTTAAAGGGGCCCAATTTAGCTTTTTGGGGTTTTCCCTTTCCTGTAGTGTGTAATCTAAGTTTTTGTGCTTGTAAATGGTTTGCAAAGGCTAAAATAGGTGTGTTTCCTCCAGAAGGAGTTTCTCTCCTGCACACTGTAACATAGTGACATGACTGCGTAACAATCGTGTTTCTATTAGCTATAAAATGTTCGCTGTTTTACCATGCTGTCAGACAGCCCTTTGCAGAAGGGAACTGAAGCGATCACATATATATATATACTCTCTTTTCAACCAGTTAAAAGCTCTTTATCAGGTTCCTTTTGAGGAAAAAAACGCGTTCTGAACACACTCCGTTTACTTTACATTGAGCCTGAGTGGGTTTCATAATTGCAGTGTTTTTCGTGCTTGTATCTCAGGGTTACTTCACTCTATTCCTTTCTCCCCTTTCATCTGCAGACAGACAGGACATGGCCAAGAGTAGTTTGAGAGTCATTGACATTTGAAGGGAACTTTTCCCCATTATAAGAGTGAGCTTGGCATGGCAAGAGACAGCCAGTGGAGAGGGGAGGACAGCTCCTGTGGTAATGACAGGGCTGGCTAACTGCAGCTCATTGCTATGAAACACACGGATGCCAGAGTAAATTGAAGGATGTGAATAATGCAAGCGTACGTGGCTGAATATAGACAAGTGGATAATTACCAGGGCCATTTTCTTCATCTTCACTCACTCCCAAATCAGTGTTGAAATAACAAAAAAAAAGTGTTTTAGCACATTAACATTGTGGGGAGACTTGGTTATTTAAATGCGGCACACAAGTGAGATTGCATTCAAATAAATCCATGTGTGATGAAGAGATGTTTTGAGAAACACTCTTTCTGATTCTATTTTGGGATTTCTGCTGCTTCGATCTTTAAATGGCTATATTTTCTTTAGTATTTATGTTATTCAGATCACAATCAAGAACAAAACACAGAGCTTTCTCAATGCCTATTACATAAATAAATGTATCACAGACCTATAAAAAGCACCCAAGCTGTAAGCCAATCATTGAACAGCATCATTATGCGAAAACATTGCGCTATCGACATCTTTCATTTTGTGTCATATTGACACAGTTCTTTTTATAATGACTGACAGCATGCCACTGCTGAACACAGATTTGATTTCAGTGCTGTCAAACATTTGTTGACACGTGTGGCATCTCAAAAGTGTGGAACATACCAGACCTACTTTCAGCCCCATATCTCGAGCTAAGCAGGAGAAAGAAACGGCAGCGTTTACAAACGGTTTCCTCTTTCCTCTCCGATAATCAAAACAAATATAGACACGACAGATGGGCTCAGAATAGCAGCCCGTTTTTCCTCTACTTAGGTTTTCCAAATAATGAATCAAGTGATTTGGCTTGTAAGAGGAAAATAATATTAATGGAATGATGTCAAAGTTCATTTCACTGGCCATTTACACCTCTAACGAGGGCTACAAACACTGCGTTGCTTTGGAGGCAGAAAATCAAAACCATTGAGCTACAGCACAATACATTCTAATAAAAACACAGTATGCCGTAGATCACGGTGGAGCTTTATGGGGAAACGACGAGGGAGAAATTAAATGATCTCTGTCGGGAAATCGAGCTTTTCCGCAGCGAAAAGTAACCGGATACAACAAAGAAACAGAGTATAGATAAGAGAATAGCAGACATCGTACAAATAAAGAATCTAATCAATTGAGTGTATGACGAGACGGGAAATATGAGCACATAAAGAATGGCAAAACAATACATAAAATGATGCCGAAAGATGCTTGTTCTCACAAAAAGTGGACTTGCTTTATTACCAACAGCATGCTTAAAAGAATAATGAGGCTTTCATAGATAATCACTATAATCATCATTTCGATAAAGTTAAAACAGCAGTAGGTTTCTGGGAGAACAATCAAAGCTGCATGCGTATGGTGGTCAGTTGACCTGTATCAGTCAGAAGACATTACGCAGTTCTGTGATCTGTTCACTGAACCACACACACACACACACACACACACACACACACACACACACACACACACACACACACCCAACCCGTATCCAGGTGCCACTGCAGAGGAGGATGCAACATATAAAATTGCAGGCACCCACACTGTTGTGTATATATACACATATACGATAATATATGCTTATATGTCTATACCCTATACTCTACCATCATTTCTCAGTGATTCGGACTATAATGTATAAACGCCCCACATATCAATTGTAGAAAGACATGATAAAAAGGTGTGCGGAACACCTGCTGATATGAAAATAGGCTTCATTATGCAGATTCAAATGGAATTTTCTCCACTCTGTGCAGAAAAACTGCTGAAGAGAAAAACTTTTCCTTTCTTTTTTTTCATTTCCACTCTTATTGACATTTACATGTGACCCACTGTTCTCCGGCATAATGATATCTGCCATTTCGGCACCACCACTCCAGCCCCGTCTTCTTCTATTTTCCTCTCTTTTAATTCTCTTCAGCCCGCACAAAGGCGGAGAGTGGAGCTTCCTCCTGCAGGGCTATTAATTATGCATAATTGCTCCACTTCAGCTGTCATCACACAACCTCTTGAATATTATATCTTTTGCACAATGGCCGACAAAATAAAGAAAAAGGTTTCATGATAGAAACCCGGAACCTTTAACAAAAAATGATAAAAAAACAAACAAAAAAGTGGTGGGCTTACGGCCGGTTGCTTCTAGTTAGCTGAACAGCCATTTTTTTCTTTCATAAATTCATAAAGCCCAACGGTCGTAAAGAATGGCTGAAAGTTTACAGGCTCATAAAGCACAATTGCAATGCTTATTTGACCAATCAGATCACTTGGATGGGAGCACCCGATTTATAATAGCATTAACTGCAATAACTTATGGCATGAGTGATTTCTAACTGGGAAGGGTTTAGCGAGTGGAAAGAACCGAGTGGGTGTCTCGCGGATGCTCACACACATCCAGGCAGAGTATGTATACTGTAACAAATAAAGACATGGCTCACCATACATTACCTGTTAATTGCCTGCAGATTTTTATAGTTGAAGCATTGACCTGAAAGACACAGCAGTTATATAACTGTTACAGCGCTGCAGCGCACAGCCTTGTGAGCGTACTGACGGATCAATCATCTCCTGAGGATTGGAAGGAACTCTGTGACCCTGCAGAGGAGTTTCTGTTCATTACATGTGTCAGGTGCTTAACACAACATTGAAATTTTAGTACAATACTTTTTCATAGAAGTGCTTTTCATTATATAATCCAATGTATAAGGCAGTGCAGAAATTAGTCCTAAAACCCAGCAATGAGTAAGCATTTTAACACTTCCTGTTCCCTCTTCTTTTTTTAAAAGTGTTTGTCGTTAGAAACCTAAAATAAGTTTTTCACGTTTTGTTCTACAACATAAAATATTCCAGTAATTACCCCCACTTGTGTATGTCTGAAGCTTTTATGTTTCATAAAAAAAACAGTTGCTAACAAATGACTAAATAAAGTGGTGCAGTAATGAGTCTTAATACCTGGAAATGACTTATCATATTAGCACCTCAGTTTCCCTTGTCCCGAAGTCAAAGGTTTATTGTGCGTATTTGCGGTTGAAATAAGGTCTGTGGTAAACACAGCTTAAGAGATTTTTTTATTTTGTTCTCTGACATAAAATATGGCAATAAATACCTCACTGGTGAATGTCCAAAGCTGCTATGTGCCATAAAAAACAGCGCTTGCTAATAAGTGACTAAATGAGACTACTAAACGTCATCACGCCGAGTTTGTTTATAGCATTAGGTAAGCTTTTAATATCTGCCAATTGCATGAATGCTTCAAGAATTACAATGAAGTGTTCATATGTGGAAGTTATCCTGCTGAACAAACTGTATACATATCAGATAGTGTGTTAGCCACAGATAATATTCCAAAATCCAATTTAAAAACTTGAGTCGAGGGAGCCATGGGATGCTAACTTCGGGATCGGCCTTCATAAATACGTCATCAGCGCACCTCTCTACTCAGTAAAAAATACATGTAGTGTCAAGATGTATTGTGCCTTCCCTGAGTGCTTCAGAATGTACACTAGGATGAGCAAGGAAAATGTGTGTGTAGGGTCAAGTAAAGGACGTCAGTGTTCGTATCTGAGGCCCGAGGATGGGAGGGAAACAGCCGAGTCTAGAATGAAAGCAGCGGAGCCTCTGGAACACCACTTGAATCCGCGAAAGTCAACAATGTCGAAATGTGATACTTCGGAAAGAAAGGCATTTCTATAGTATATCAACAGGATATCGACACGGCTTGTGTTCTCTTGTCTCTCAAAAAAGAAACATGTTTTGCTTACTTAGACCATCTCCAGTGATTTCTTATATACCTGGGATAACTACAAATGTTTTATTTGTTTTATGTTCTATATTCATGTTGCACTGTTGGAGGAGCCTGTGACTTGAGTGTTTCATTGCCATATCTACACTCTAGCTACTGTGCACATGACAATAAAGCCTTGCATCTTGAATCTAAAGAGATCCTTGCTTAAAACTGGCCCAGATGAGGACTTCTCATCTTCCAACAGAATTTGTATGCAAAGCTTTTTTGTAAGAGAGAGAAAGAAACGGTCTGCGAGTGTGTGGGAGAAAACGATGATTGCCATTCCTTCTCTCCATCACAGTGACGATGACAGAGGTGAAAATGACTTTGCTTTCTTTGGTGATGCGCTGCCGTGGAGGATAGCGCCACGCTGCTGGCTACTTGCAGCGACTGTCTCATTAGCATGTGTCACACGCGCTTCCAGGCGGGCGCCATGTAATAACTCTGCGCGTGTGTTTGTAAATGTGCGTGTGCGTGAGCCATGCCTCGGAAGGATTCTTCATGCCAGGGGACTGCAGTGGTTTGACTCTAGAGTCGATCCCCTTTCAGAGGAGCAGAGCAGGGTCAAACAAAGGATGACACCCGCTATAATGACTCTATCTTGCTTAGATAGAGTGCGTCTGGCACACAACAATCAGCAGTCTAAACGTCTTGTTGCCAGACTCTTCTCCCGCAGAATCTTCCATCTAGGACAAGCTCGGCTGTGTTATATAATGCTCCCAAATCATGGAAGTGCTCAACCTCCCTTTATCTATCCTTTGCCATTCTGTCTGTGCCCGGAGAATGAGACCTGACATGACGGACATATCAATGGGAGGAAAAGGAGGAACTGTAAAAAGACAGGCGGCTAATTGAAGTTTGATGGAGGAATATGATGAAATGCGTACATCTTTAAGAGAGATGTGAGGAAACACGCATCTAGACAAAAGGTCTCGTAGGAACAAGCATCACATTGATCTACGCCATTCCGCCAGTGTAGCGACACAGCATTAGCCAACTTGTGCATTCACAATGTCAGATTCAATGTTTTTCAATCTTGTTCAAAACTGCGCCCCTTGTAAACAGTTTGTTGATTAAGCCTTGATGTTTGTAAATTTGCGCGTTGTGTGTTTCCAACCTGTAATGCAGTATAATGTGCTTAGTGCTACTGAGTGTAAGTGAGTGCTTGGCCATTCCCCAGAGAGTGATAGCAGCTGGATCAGACTAATCTAATACAGCCCCCGAGTCTGGGGAGCCATCCATTGCTTATCAGATCTCTCATTCAATAACAGTGAGCCATGCCAGCTTACGGAGTTATAAAAGGAATATATTCAAGTTTATTTTCCTTTGCCTTGTGTGTGATTTGTAACTGTGTGTGTGACTGTGTGTTGGTCGTGCAGACTCGATGGATGGCTGCTCCACAGACTGTAATGGAAACGGAGAGTGTGTGGCCGGACACTGTCACTGCTTCGCTGGATTCCTGGGTCCAGACTGTGCCAAAGGTAAGATGCGTTCTGATAAAGGATCAAAGGGGCCATACCATGTAATACACACTTTTTCATTGTCAGTTCACTAACTTCTCTTGGTATCTTGGGTGCCTACCAATAATTTATCAAATTTGACTACTCTTCTTATGCCACATTAAGGCTCATTAGAATATACCACCACCCATCTTTCTCCACCAAGAGCTTGAGAATGACCTTTGCAGTTTTTCTCGCAAGCAAGACAGCGTAGTGTTTATTCAACATTGACTATGTACAAATGTTTTTGTAGAAACAAAAAGTGCAAGGGTAAACCTGAACTTTAACATGTCGTCCCCATTCGTTGGTATGCTCTCAATACTAAGGCTGCACATTTAATGGGAATTGCATTATGGACTAGTGCAATAATCAAATCACGGGAAGCACAATATTTGTTAAAGGTTAATATGTGGTGAAATACAATTTTAAATGATGTATTGTGGAGCTGCGGTAATATCTACAGTAACCCTACAGATTGTATTCTAAAGAAGTAATGCTGCTAATTTTTCGATTTCATATTTGTAATGTGCCTCTACTGTGACATGTTTACATGCATCAATGTTCAAAACGTGCTTTATTTTTCTCATACTGCCTGAACCTCTTCTCACCCTCTGTCTGAAACCAGAGACCAGTCCGTCCTTTAGCCATCACAATGTGTTGGAGCATAGCCAAGAGAAGCATGAGTGTTACAAACAAACAAAGGAGACCAATGGAGGTGTTTCATGCTTTTTACAAGCAGACAAACCTATGGTAAACACCACAGGAAAACCCCAAAAAGCATAATAAGGCCTCTTAAAACATATTTGTTTGGTGCAGATCCTTTACAAAAATCGAAAGATGATCACGTTAATGATGTTTTTCAAGGATAATAACAATACTATTGCAAAAACGATCCATCCCTCCCATAACTTAAGACACAATATTAGTCAAAATGATCACAATTAGGTCTTAGTTTTCCTTATGATTCCTTATGATCACTTTATTGTCACTTTTTCTACAAACTTGTTACAGGTGTGATGATTCACAATGAAAAAACAAATAGGAGTAATTAGTGCATTTTTAAAGGACTATTTTCAGGCGTGCATAGGCCTTTAGTGCACTGGTAGGAATTGGAAACACCAGGACTAAGGGTGATGTGGTTTGATTTGTTCCAGAAGGACAGGGCATATAATAGGGAAACGAGGAACAAGGGAAAGAAGACCCAATTAGGAAGCAGAAGTGGGTGTCAGCATCATCAAAAGTCTCAGTTCCATAAGGGAATAAAACGCAGACTTTTTAAACCAAAACGTGGATCTGCAGGCTTCCAAAAAGTCTTGTTGAAAAGTGTGGACACTAGGCATAAGTGTAACAAAAGTTGTGCAATGTTAAACAAAACCTATTAGTGTGGATGTACCGTCAATATAATGTGCATTTCCACACCACCACTCCCATTAACACACCTACCATCATGTATAATCACCACTCTGCATCCCCGACTTCATTTTTTTCATCAACCACCTACTTTTTTCCGTAATTTCGATTCCATTAGGCTGTTTTTCAGGTGCCGTTAAGCTACTGTCAATAAAACGTAACACTTCCTGCACATATGTTTCTCATTAAAAGCCTTCCGGGGCTCAGATGCGACTGCAGATGCTAATTTGAAACATTTACAGGAGGTGTTGACTCTTTTTGACAGCAACTTATGGAAAAGGAATAGAGTTTTTTAATGGCACGGAGAAATAAGCTGTGGTAACAGAAAAATTAGTGTATTTATTGCGAATTAGTTCCTCCTTCCTTATGAGTCTTTCCTCTCCATTCTTTTTCATATTCGTTCCCCTCCTCTGTCCTCCTCTGTAAAATCATTGTAGTTGTATCTGTCTCATTGTGTAGAAACAGCTGATATGATATCACATTCTATGATTTATTTATGCTCATCATTTATTCATCCAACTCCTCTCATCCTCGCTCATTTGCCCGTTTCATAATATTCTCCCTGTTTGAAAAGTTAGACAGCGAGTTCTGGCAAAAAAAAAAGTGAAGTGTGAAATGTATTTCTGCGGGGTACAGCGTGTTAGATTTAACAAAAGGATCAAACAAACACGTAACACACGCAAGAACGCACGGGGGTCTTCACTGCAAATTATCCCGAAAAAAGAAAAGAAACGGCATTGGTTCTGCATTTTCTTTCTAATCCATTTGAAGTCAGGAGGAAGGAGGTGTGTGTGTGTGTGGGGGGGGTGTTACTGTCAATGCGTCATCACGCGCTCACTTATTCTACCTGGCTGTCATTACCACACAGCTCTCCTTCTCTGCGTAGCTCCACTTCTCCAGCCTCATTCTATAAACCCCCACTAATGCTCTCCCTCCTAATCTGCCGTTTTCACGATTGTTTTCACGGCCTGTTCAGAGCAAGCGAGGTGACGTTGGGGGGGATTTTCTACAATTCCTGGGTTGCCGCGGTAGCCGGGGCTCAGGTGGTGCTTGAGTAAATTGAAACAGCGTGAGGGATAAGCTGTAATGTGTGTGTGTGTGTGTGCGCGTGTGTGAGAAAGAGAGGGCGAGACAGAGGATGCTTGAGGATTTGCTGAATCCGCGCACTCGGCGAGATAAGAGAGCGTAGCCCCACTCACGGTAGGTTACTGCGGTCTCCTGGCTAATATACTGCAGCACTCCGCTTGTGTGTGTGTGTGTGTGTGTGTGTGTGTGTGTGTGTGTGTGTGTGTGTGTGTGTGTGTGTGTGTGTGTGTGTGTGTGTGTGTGTGTGTTTGCGTGTGTGTTTGCGTGTGTGTTTTCGTGTGTGTAGAACCCCAAATACGTGGCTGTAATCTGTGTTTGTTTCCCCCGCTGCAGATTCATGCCCCGTGTTGTGCAGCGGTAACGGCTTGTACGAGAAAGGAAGGTGTGTGTGCCTGGCAGGGTGGAAGGGGGCGGAGTGTAACGTGGAGGAAGGTCATTGCATCGACCCTACCTGCTCCAATCACGGCTCCTGCATCCAGGGTATCTGCATCTGTAGCCCCGCCTACAAGGGGGTTAACTGTGAACAAGGTAAGATGTGTCACTCTCTCACATGTCGAAATACTCACCTTTATTGTGTCACAACAAAGATGGCTCCACTTATTCAAATGAGTGACCTTGCTATTTTTAAGATAAGCATTTAATTCAAAGCGGCACTAATCGATATTTTGATATTGACGATGGATCAAATGACTGTGTGTAATTTGACAAGGGGCCCTCTTAGTGTCAGACCCACAGAGAATTATCGCCGACTCGGCAGACTCTACGGACTGTGTGGATCAAGTGAAGTGAAACCAGTCCAGGCAATTTCCATTTATTCACTCCAAGATCACAAATAAGCGTTAAAGAGCTGTACAACACTGTCTATTCTTAGATCATCAATTCAAATAAGGAAAAACCCTCTGCAATATAATCTTCTTATAATACTGAAATACAGTTGTAAGTACTTCTATTTCATTATAATGCTTCGTGGAAATATTTTCCTATTATAAAGCATTACATAATTACTTTTAAGTTTTATTATACTTTGTAATTGCTGATCGCTCCCTTTTTTTATCAGTAAGAGCTGGCTCCGCCCCTTCTACAAACTTCAAGTTCCCAAAGAAAATATAGATTTTGTGAATAGGGAAAATCCATGTGTCTTAGTCCAATTATAAATTACAAATTGAGTTGATAAGACGAAAGCTGCTATATAACGTTTATGTAGCTTAAAATAACAGGAAATCAGTTTTCCATAAGTTTTCCAATACCAACAGCAGACTGGTTACATAGGAGCTTGTCAATACTAAGAGCTTTGAGAACATTTCCCCTGGGCCCATTTAATAACAGGTTTCCATACTAATCCCTTTTCCCCAGCTGGCCAATTATTGCAGCCTTAGTGCTGAATATTTTACAAAACCTATGTGATGTACATCCATTTCCTATAGGTAAATTGCACATCATCTACTTGTCAGTGTAATATTTTGACAGTGTTTGTCTCCGATTAAAATGCACATGAATCATACTGCAATCCTGAGATGTTTCTCCTACAATTCATTGCTATCAAGACAGAAACACCCATAAATCCACAGAGAAATCAGATACAAACACACCTCTTATACATTCACATTTTGACACAATACTTTCACATCATCTAATACTAAACATTTCAACAGACACAAAACAATTAAAATGAATAGTCATGATCATTTAGCTTTTCAAGTATACAATAATATATCATAAGCCCGCTAAAGAAAATTAATCCAAATGTTGTCCAACTGATATTTATTTTTAATCGGTATATAAATAAGATGCTGCTCCGTTTTATTAATAAAATAACAAATTCAAAAATTAATTAAAATGAAATGAAATAGGTCATTTTGGAGAAACCAGCTCGAGATCGCTAGAACTTGAAAATACACAGCCAGAAAAAATCTACCACTTCCTTACAGAGCCCCTCCTCCAACACACACGAACGCGCACATGACCAATGAGGGCATGAGATAATTTTGTGAACAGATGGAAGGCTGACAGGCAGGTAGGCCATCCAGTTATTTTATCCGGGCTGGCTAAAATGATTGGTCGTGCTTTTTACAGTACTACGGCTTCCACAGATGACATTTCTTTATGGATTTTTTGTCAAAGCATTTCAGATATTCATTACTATCGGGATGTTAAGAGCATTCCATGGAATATAACAAAAAGTGTATCTCGAGCCGGTTTCGGAAACCTATCTACCCCACCTTTAAGGCTTTTTATGAAAACCTGGTCCTCTGCAGTAGAGTTTCCGGCCTGAGAAGGGAAGCTGAGGATTCTCTCACCTGGCTTGGGTTTGGGCTTGAACGGGGCCTTGGTTACTGCCTTGGAGGGGGCTTTGGTGGTAATGGTGGTGATGTCACCAATTGAATCAAAACCTGCACACAACATTGACAGCTCAAACCTAGAGATCGACGGGACTTCAGTTATAAGTCCACTGTAAATGATTCAACAGCATAAAAGTAGACAGGGCTCGTGAAAAACCAAAGGCGGGTTTGAAAAAAGAAGATGGGAGACAGTTTTGCAGATGAAAGTAGTCACAAATTGGATTTTGTTTTTTAACTAAACCACTCCCTTTAAGAATATCTGATACCTTCTGAAAAACAGAGTTTTCAAAGAGGAGCTCATGTTGTAGGAGAACTTTAAGAAAAAAACAGTCAAAGATTTGCAATCCTGCACCACTACTCCTTAAATCTAACAATGCTACATCATTGACTTACACTTACAAATGATCCTGTCACTCTTCCAGGTTAAGTTGGTGTTATTATAGATTTAAATGATTTGATTCTTACCTGCTCCTGCCTCTGCTCCTCCAGCTGGTGCAGCTGGTGCCGCTGGCTTCGAGGCGGGGGTCGGTGCTGAAGAATATTAATTATTGTTATATTTAGACATAATTCAACAAAAGTCATTACTCTGCTGTTAGTCATTCATAAGTAGATATTGTAAATCATGTAATGTATGTTTGTGTGGGTCTGAATCTAAAGGAATGCTTGCTACACATTTTTCTTTTAATGTTACGCCATTTTTCTTACTTATCCATTGACTTCCATTCATTTCCGTATGCTATTATCTTGTATTGATAAAGTAATATGCATAAGACTGAAAACCTGATATAGTCACGGATTATACATCACAGGTTTCAAGTTTTCTTAATGCCTTTAAATTGTAGAATATTAATGGAATTCAATGGAGATACAACATTTTCTGGCAATTATAATTTTTTTTATTCAAAAGACGGATCACAATATTTTTTATCTTTTTCAAGGAATTTGCAGATAAAGATATCGGGTTTATGAGACGCTGAGTCCCAAAAAGAAGAAAAAGTTATTTATTTTGTATTGTACTTACATGGTTTACTTGTGCCATCACCCAAAGCATCAGCTAGGTCGAAGTCCTGAGAAAGGACTACTGTTCAGAGAGGACAGACAGAAGACATGTTACATTCAATCTGACAAATAACACCAAAAGGGACTCAACATATTCTGTAGAGTGTGGATATCTTCTGTCTGATGTAGGCTCTTTGGTAGATGTGTGACCACTTTACTGATGAGTTCCCAGGCCCTGCCAGTGTTACTGTGTGTCACACAGTTTGGTGCCAAACTGGGCCCAGAGTGCACTAATCGGCACTATTTGTTGTCTGGGTTGCAAAACGGAGATCATTTACCAGACGGGACACAAAAGCAGAAACAAACAAACACTAGCTATCTTCATTGGCTGCGAGTCACAAACAAGCACGGTGTGTGTGTGCCTAACCCTAGATTGGAACTAACAGAAATTATACTTTCATCACCATTGTAGCTGAATATGCTATGACTACATAACACAATTAAATAGAATCACTACTTTAAACGGACACATACAATAACAAATTGTAACGATACTCCATAGATTACACGTCAAACATACTAATCATGTACACGACTTGTAATTCTGATTTATGCTGTAGATTCACTCTGCTCCACCCTTTCTATCTATTTTTAATCTAGTCTTTTTCTTCCTCGGCTGTCACACCTAATGTCCCCCAGGGAATCAGTTCTTATCTTAGAGCCGCAGTCGAGGCTTCATGCTTCTTACCGATGCTAGGGCACATTTCAAACTGCTCCTTTTAATGATTTTTTTGGCATTTCTCCTCTATTCAATAGTCTACAGAAAAGGCAGACAGGGAAGGTTGCGAGAGAGCAAGTACAACATGTACAAAGGCACCCAGCTATAGAATCGACTCAGGAACATTTCAATTATCGACCCTCAGGCAAGGTGTCCCCATGGACGTAAAATGCTGAATGGGTTGGCTCCACAACACCCGAGGAACTTCAGTTACATTACCATAGACGTTGAAGAATTTAATAAAATTGTAAAGGTAATAAAGACTTCCCTACCATTGCCCTTTTCTTGAATGAGCTCCAAGCTGCCATTAGGGAAACTAGCTATGTAATAACCATCAAGAGTTTTACTGCACATCTGTGCAGTAAAACTCTATGGGTTCAGATGTTCCACTCTGAGCTTCTGCTATAGTGTATTGTGCTGTTCTAGAGACAGTACATGCAAGCCTTGGTGGTGTAGTTACCGGTACTCAGATTATAAATCAAATTTAGGAGGGGATATAATTGAAAGAAACTAATTTGTATAAACGTGTTATCGGACCACATTCCCAACTAATTGAAATAGACAAGTAAAAGAGCTGCAACAATAAGTCCATTAATTGATTAGTTGTCCTGCTTTTCCTAGTTTTAAAATCATTTTTAACTCATTATTTGGGGGTTTTAGATTGTCGTAACAAGGATTGGGACATTAAGAAATTGAAATAGATTTGTTTTACTATATTTTCGACTAAACTCAATAATGTAATTGGCAGATAAATTGATAGAAGAAATAAAAGCTCTAATAACAGCCCTATAACAAAAATGCAACCAAATCTCCCAGAAAGGTTTCCATTCATGTTGCATTGTGGGTTTTGTAGGCGCCAGGTTCTGACAAGGGAAAATAATTTGTGGCTCAAGAAGACCCTTTTTGTTGTTCTGCTACAATATCCTTTTTCTTCTTAACTGTTCATTTTAACTCTAGTTCTACGGAGTGCGACTCTGAATCAGTGCAGTTCTCTATTCAAATAAGGTTGGGCATAACATAGGGCTGCTCGGTTATGGCAAAAATCATAATCTCGATTATTTGGGTCAATAATTGATATCACGATTATTAATAACAATTATCCATTTACTTTTAAAACATCCATTTATTGAAAAAAAAAAATGTGAACAGTATGTTTTTAACAGTTGATCACCCTGAACTTTAAGTATAATTCAACTGAAGAACCAATAACAAATTTTTTATAAAAATAAAATAAATAATCGTTTTATTTCGATATGTTGTTTTCATAATCGTTGCAAGCCAAAATCGTAATTGCAATTAAAATACGATTAATTGAGCAGCCCTAGCATAACACTGATTAGGTAATAAAAACGTGCACACTGACAGGAACTTCTGTGTGAATTTCTGATGTGCCACAGGACCATTCACCACCCTGACCTTGACATATTACTTCCTGCAGCCTACAGACCCCCCTCCTTCCTGCTGCCCCACCCACCTACCGCCCAAGGGCAAGGGTACCAGCCAGATGTGACCAATCAGAAGAACTCGAACCGCTTCCTTCATTTTTGGGTCAACAGCAATCCCTGGACCCATGTTACGGTAGGTAAAAAAGCTCCAGTCAGTGAGGTTAACGATTTTAGATTTAGGCAAAAGAGAGCATTAGGAATCCATGTACTCTGCAATGAAAGATACCAAAAAAACAGGTGTAAAGTCTAAAAAGTTAAGGGCAGAGACTGAGATTCTGCCTACATCCAAACCCAAAATCTTTACCAGATTAACTCAACACTAATATAACTTTTTTTATAAGTGATACTTGACACTTGTAATTGTATTCCTAAACCCAACATTTGGCTAGAAAATGTATTCACATAATTAGCATATCATTTGCATAATAGCATTTCATTAACTAGCCGGCTGCTGGTCGGGTTTTTTTTATTGCCACAACCAGGTGAATCTTTTATGACTACAGCTTTTCAGTCAGTCCATACTTTAAAATATGGGTTGCCATGCAGACCTTAAAATGAAAAAAAACCTCCTAAAAAGCAATCAAATGAACACCTGCTTGTATTGGATTAGTGATGTAAGGCGGGTACAATTGTAGAGTGAGGACATGTGCTACCGTTAAACCGAATGAACTCATCTGCTTTAAAATTATTCACGTTTTAGTGACAAACTTTCCATATTAATAAGCACTGAGTGACATCATTGTCAGCATGGCATGTGCTGCTGCAAACCAGACAGGAAGGGTGGGTGGTGCCCCATCACTCTCATCTATAATCATTCATTCAGAACGAAAAAAAAGATTTAAAAACATATTAAAGCTTGAATTACTGTCCCATTTGAAATAAAACTGTATAATCATAATCATGCATGTAGTAATGTGGAATTACTTAATTTATTACAGCTCAGCATCAGTAATATGTGGAGCAAATGGAGCCACAAAATTAAGCTTAAAAAATGATATATAACATAAATAATTAGAAAAAATGTATGTATATAATAATAATTTTTCTGTTCTCTCTCTTAACGTCGACTCCCAGGCCGGTAGACCGTTACTCGGCCTGGAATCGGTGTGCGGCACAAAAGGCGGAACGTGCACGTGCAGACAAAGCGTTACCCACCTTCCAGAGGGAGCAGCAGCGCGAGGAGCAGCACGAGGGACCACAGAGAGCGGGAAGCCATTACTCCGGTCTTTCACACACAAACAGCCGGAACAGAGTGAGAATACAGCGGGTAAAGCAGCTGGCCTGTCACCGTTCCGTTAGTCTCAGCCTGCGGTTCAGATAACTCTCACAGCCGCATACAAGGCGTTGACTATGGCTCCTGTGGCACTCCCACTCAGACCCACTTCCTGCCAGACCTTTCAAAGTAAAACTGCCACACAAAAGCAGTGAACAATGCTCAATAAATCTAAATTATTTTCATAGTAAATGATGAAGTTATTTATCATATTGTGCAATTAAATGTCCCTTTAATAAATTATTAAGATGTATAAAACACTCGGATTTGAACAACACTTTGATAGTTAATGATGAACACCAGTGGTGAGTAACTAATTACATTACATTTAGTACATTTGTTTGTCATTCTTGTATTTTATTTACATTTTATGCTACTTTATACTTCTACTCCAATGTATTTTGCAATTGTATTTGTAATGTTACTTTTTAATACACTACATTGATTTACCCCTAATAGTTTCCAACTACTGTTTCCACATGAAAGACATTACATTTGTATATGATATAATGCAGTACGGTCTTACCAAAATATACACAAAAAATCAAAAATTGTCTTAATATTGATAAACAACATTAATATTAATTCATATTCTATAATAATATAATACTTTCGAAACAGCCATGGTGCATAATGGGTATTTTTTGATACTTTAAGTACATTTAGCTGGACATACTTCTATACTTTTACTTAAGTAACATTTGAATTAAGAACTTGCACTTGTAATGCAGTATTTGCTGACCAAAGTATGTCTATACTTTTACTCAAGGAAAGGCTTAGCCCCAGTGTGTGCCTCTCATGCGTTAGCATTGTCAGGGCCTGACTAATTTGCTGCCCTAGGCAATATTTTAGCTGGCTGTTTTTCATCTATTCTCTTATTTTTTATAACTATAATGATTATATAAAGGTGTGCCTTTACCTCACTGAGCTGAGGTCATCAGAGCCGCTTAGTCTTTCAGGAGAGATCTCTCTAAAGCTCTCCCCCCCGCGACTGCTTACACAGTAAATTCCACTGTTAATAAAAGCACACAGAAGCTGTATACGTTTTTTGGTAGTTTGATTTATTTTACATTAACACGAATACAAAATTAAAACCTATAATTACACACTAAAACCATTATTTCAAAAAAAAAGAACAATTTCACATAGACCTCTGGTTTTGATTGGGCTGGGGCAGTTCAACATGATTTTTTTTGGGGGGGGGGGTGCCACAGTTTAATGGCGCTGTACGCAATATAGGCGTAGTTCTGTTAGTTTAAGATGAAAAGATGTACTTTGTTGATCCAAAATTGGGAAATTGTGTTGTTATGAAATAAAAAAAAAAAGATTCTTCCCAATTTTTGGCACCCCCGATGGGTTGATGCACCCTTAGCATTCGCCTATACTGCCTATGCCAAGGGCCGGCCCTGAGCATTGTGTTCACAGAGGAACCCATTCCATTTTTCTTTTACACATTTAGGCAGTGAAGGACTAATATTCTAACATTTGGGATGGAAGAAATTGTATATATTTCAGAGAAACCTATACTTTCTGACCCATATGTTTGACAGGTACAAATTAAACTAATGTTATCCAAAACTGACCTTATTACTTTACAGAGAGAGATTTATCCTCAAAACCGTATGGATGTTTTATTTTTCAATAATATGTTATCCATAAAAAAAATGTCAATGAAAAGAGATTTGTGTATCCTTCCATTTTTCGTCTTGGGAAACCTTCAATTTATGTTATGACCCTTTGGAGGGGTCCAACCCCTAGTTTGGGAACCTATATCAAATTAAAATCAGTTCCATCTTGAGATGACTGTTAACAATGTACTTTTACTTAAGCAGGTCTTTTATTGTAATTGAGTAGTCAAACATTGTTATAGTCCTGCTTTAACATAAGGACCTGAGTTATTCCACCATTGTTTCAAGTACAATACCTCAGAAATCTGTTAAGGTAGTTTAAAGTTGGAATGTAACAAGAATTAAGCAATCATACACGAGAGGCCGTTCTTGAACGTCATTATTGGTACGACAGTACTGCGGCAGGACCGAGGCGCTTGCGCCGAGGTCTGTACGCCTATATGTTTAGCTTTTTACTCATACATTTATCTAACCTCTTTACTTACATTACAAATGAATTTGCGTAGAGTTTGAGGAGCATTTATTTGTATTACAGTCACTTAATTCCTACAAAAACATGGCATGGTTCCGACTACTTAAAATGTACGAGTTTTCTTGTTATATACTTCCCAACATTTTAAGCATTTATATGTTTTATTTTGTTCTTGTTTTTTTTGGCTGGACACAACATTGTGCGATTGTCCCTTTGTTTGTTTTTTAACTGTGAAGACAATTGTTAATATGTTCGAAATTTGACAAGCCAGAGCCAGACAATCAATTGATTATTAGAGAAAAACAATTCTTCCATAATGAACATAATCATTAGTTGCAGTCTGATTAAAAAAAAAAGTAAAAGAATAGCTTCATCTCAACTCACTACCACAGTTAATCTTTAAATGGGCCATCACATGTAAATATTTTGGAAAATTAATTGATTGGTATTTCCTACATTACACCTAAATTACACTGTTATTACACCCAAATTACACCTATATTCCACGGTAATTAAACTCTAAAAACACCCATATTACACATTCATGCACCCCTATTACACTCATGTTACACTATTATTACACCCAACACTGTTATTAAACCAATATTATACTGTATTAGACCCATATTACACCTATGTAACCCCATTATTACAACCCATTTTACCCATGGACACACTACACAGCCTGTCAAGTGACCATATCCCCCAGGATCCCGAAATCATTTAAGGGTTAAATCATGCTTTTCTAGATTAATGCATGAATAATCATAACCAAATATATAATATTCACATGAGACTCTTTCTTTATTTTAGCCTAATAATTACATGTTCCTAATTAAACTGTCATGCATAGGCTATATCATTTTCAAAGCAGGTTTTCTTTTACTTAAAACATGTTATTTTTACAGTGTGGAATCAGTAACTGATCTGAATACTTCATCCACCACTTGTTGGTTTTGGATTAAATGTACTTAACCACCACTTTTTGTATTATTACTAGTAGAGCGTTTGCATTTGCAGGTGTATTGTAGCATCTTGAGTGATTGTGGTGTCCATCATATTAATTGTGGGCGTGGCTTGTTCCCCAAACTGCGGAAACAGGCTGATTTATTCCAAAAAGCTGCCAGTAGCAGTAGCAGCGGACACACTGGAGCGAGACAGGCAACACACCAGCACACAACAGATACTCCACACAGCTCGGAGGAGATGGGGGACAAAGCGGGGACCAGGTAAGAGAAGCATACCGTTTCCTCGTTATCAAAGGATGAGAATTGAAGACGTTCGTCCTCGAGCTAAAGGGGAAACTCTCTGTTAGCCTCTGCGCGAAGGACACTACGAAAATAGACCTGATTCACATGACTGTCACTCTCCTCTGTTGATTTCACAGGACTACAAGTGGACATTTCCCTAAATATATCAATAGATATCGATTGATAGTAATGCCGAATTGAAGAATAGAAGCCAAAATAAGTTAAAATGTCCTGTCATGCATATGCATTTGTTACATTTGACTATAAGCTAGGCAGCGTCAAATAGCCTTAAAATGTATATGTTGGTAAGGAGTCTGCCTTGACTTCCTCTAGTGAGAAGACGTAGCGTTTGGGGGCATTCGCTAGCAGGGAGACTGTAGCAACCGTTTTCTGCTCTCAATAGGCGTGTGAACGTTTTTGATTTTATGTGGCTTTTTTTTATCACATAAACATTAGCCTTTAAGGCAAGAGAAAGAAGTAAAACTTTGTTTTACCTAACAGGTGTTTGACTGCGTGTTTATTCAACGTTAATCAGTTTTACAAGGTGCAGTTGAACGTTACACACCGTTGGCTACATTGTATCCTTTAGCATGTAGCTGCTCTTATAGAATGTCATATTTTTCCTACAACAGAAGAGTTGACTCAGTGGCGGCAAACGTCCGCTTGGTGTTAGTACACTATTTTTCCGGAAGACACAGACTTTATTTTTTCTGCGCCATGTAGCCTATGTAGGCCTACTTGTCACTGCAACAGTCTCAAATATATGTATGGATAACATGGTTGGATCAACACGACAGACAGACATCTGAAAATAACGGATAATTCGACAGGTCTGGTGAAGGTGTCCTAACACATAGTACCACTAGGAGTCAGCAAAGACAGGAATACTCAAATCACAGGGCCTTTAAATCACTTTTTGGCAAGTGTGTCTGAAAACAAATTTGTGTAGTGAAGTGCTGTCTGTTAATTGTGGCAAAGAATACCCCTTATTAATAGGGATATCATAATTACAGCTCCAATCTACAATCCTCATTGGTTTATGAACTGTCAGAAAATGAAGGAAATATCCATTGCAGGTTCTCAAAGTCCAACATGATGTTTTCAAATGTCTTGTCTGTCCCAATAACCCAATATAAATTCAGTTTAATAAGATGTAAAAAAAAAATACATTTCCATATTTGAGAGGTTAAAATCTGCAATTTTTGCATGCAAATTATTTTAATGACAGTTAGTTGCCAATATTTCCCTGTTAGTCGACTAACTTGATCCAGTTTTCGTTTGCCCTGGTTCCAATTGGACTGTTTTAATGTCTCTGATACAAGTTTGTTTCTACTTTCAACTTTATTGTTGATAAAAAAAATAATACTTGACTCAAATAAATGTTTATATATATTTTATATATAAATATATATATAGGAAGGAGTTTTACTAAAACACGAACTTTTGAAGCTTTTAAGCAGGCTTGAAAAAATAATGACCCTGCTCTTTAATGTGAATCATCTGCTAACCTTGGATAATTACTTTAAATGGGACATTTTTGGAGGTAAAAAAAACTCTGCACCCTAGTTAGAGGATTTCCAAGTCTTTCAACGTGTTCATTCAACTCCCCCTTTGGCGAGACGGTTTAAAGTTTTGTGAAACTGTAGACTGTAAGAGTGTGGACAACATTTAAATTACATTGTGGCAGGGATATATCCTGTCCTCACTGCTGACCTTCGAAGCTTCATA